AGTTTTCTTAAGAAAAACTAGTTTGTTGACAGTTTTCTCTGCACTTGTAATGTTATTATAGAACTTACTGAATTCCTGCCATGGACTTGACATTCTCTGCAGCAGCCTTATCAGAAAGCTACTGAAATCCAGTATTTGAGCTCTTCTATCCTTCTATCCTCTTCTATCTCCTCTTCTATCCTCTTTTATCTCCTCTCCTATCCCACTCTCTTTCTCAGTCCAGTTTAAAGTATATGTGAGACTGATATTTTAGCTATTTGCTATATGGATATTAATATATGGATATTATACGATATATTATATTATATATAATATATGGATATTTGCTATATGGATATTAATATTAAGATATTAATGATCATGACCATCTTTATGTCTTTGCAAGGTTCACTGAAAACCATCAGACCTGTTTGATAATCTTTCCAACTGGTCAATAATGAAATGCAATTTTTTTCCTTCTCAGGTTTCGTAGAGAGTATTCTTCAAACAATAATTTCCCCCTCTTTATAATTAGAAAAGGCAGTATATTTCCTTATATTTCTGCAGATATGTTTGTGAACATTGTTGTTTGGCAACTAGGGTTGAGGACAAGCGTTCTGAAGGAAGATGGCTTGTTAAAGAATTACGAAGAAATTTAATAAAAATTCTCAAAGCTTCCTACAGTCCATAGCAGTGATTCTTCACTGCCTTCCAGTTTCCTAATATTGACAGGTTGGGAATTGTAGCTTTGGATTGCCACCACAGAAGCTGGAAGGCAGGGAAAGCTATAAATCCCCTCTATAGGCCATAAACCCAAGATGCTGCTTCTTTGCTGGTGTACTTTCTCTCTTTGCCTGATCTAATTGGTACCATATCTAAGGTGGTTGTAAGACGTGTAAAATGTGGTTGTAAGACGTATTGTCATATATCCAATCATATATCCAATCATTAACCTGAAAAGAAACTGTCTAACACAAAAAGTTGTTTTGTTAAAATGGCCTTCTCTTATAGGTTCTATGTAGCTATTTGGAGAAGACCTGAAAGCACAAAACAGGTTGAGAAAGAGATCTTATATACCAGTGGTGGGTTTCAATTTTTTTTACTACTAGTTCTGTGGGTGTGGCTTGGTGGGCATGGCATGGCTTGGTGGGCGTGGCATGGCTTGGTGGGCATAGCAGGGGAAGGATACTGTAAAATCTCCATTCCCACCCCATTCCAGGGGAAGGATACTGCAAAATCCCCATTTCCTCCCGATCAGTTGGGACTTGGGAGGCAGAGGAATAGATGGGGGTGGGACTAGTCAGAATTTTTACTACCTGTTCTCCGAACTACTCAAAATTTCCACTATCGGTTCTCCAGAACTGGTCAGAACCTGCTGAAACCCACCTCTGTTATATACCCATATAGCAATAGCACTTAGACTTATATACCACTTTACAGTGCTTTACAGCCCTCTCTGAGCAGTTTATAGAGTCAGCATATTGTCCCCAATAATCTGGGTCCTCATTTGACCCACCTCGGAAAGATGGATGGCTGAGTCAACCTTGAGCCTGGTGAGAATTGAACTGCCAAATTGCAGACAGATGGCAGCCAGCAGAAGTAGCCTGCAGTACTGCACTCTAACCACTGCACTACCATGGGTCATATGCACTGTTTCACCTGCAGTTTTCCTGAACTGGATAGGATGGTTTTCCATGACATATCTAAATATAGTTGATGGGATGAGTTTAGATTTTTCATGACTTTCAGACAGAAATTCTGCAAATGCTAACAAGGGACTGAAATATGTGATCCCATTGGCTCTCATTTATGCTTTATTTAAATGTCAACATAAGACCATGGTTTTATAACAATCAATGTGAACTTGAGCATAAGGTGTTTAATTTTAAAGAATTCTTTCAACCATGTTTTCAAATTAGTAGATTAATCTGCCAAGACTATCAAAATGACGATGCAGAATCTTTCTCTCTCTCTCTCTCTCTCTCTCCCCTCCCTCCCCTCCCTCCCTCTCATCCTTCCTCCCCCTGTCTCTCACTCTCCTTTCTCAGATTTGAAAATAGTTTTTGGACTTTGGATCTCATTCACAATCAGGATAAATATGAAGCCTGATAAATTTTTAGTGACGCTGTTATATTTGATAGCCTGACAAATATGTTAAAATGTTTTCCTTTAGTCAACAAGGATTATATTTTTCTATTATGGGCACAATCTTTTTTCTTTTCCAGTCTACTGTCAATTATATGACTATCTTCTTCAACTGCAAGATTGAAGGTCTTATTTCATGGTTCTGTCATATGACCACAGTTACTTATTTTTATTGAAATGCATTAAGATACTTTTCTCTTTTTATTAAATAGAATCAATATACTTTACAATAGCTGTTTACTGTTTTTTTGTAGCCTACAGAAATCTATCCCTATCTATTTACTATTCTGCATCCTGAACATCATCATTCATGAGCTCAGCTTCAAGCTATTGACCATTTCACCCACAAACTGTTCTCATGCACCATTATTGCTCAGCATCTTAAAAAGATTTTAAAAAAAACAACACTGCTATGGTTTCATTGACAACATAGTGGAAATGTTTGCTACCATCAGTTTCAACAATGATTTCTCCTACTTCAGTCTAAACACAAATCCCAGATTTCCAAATGGCTTCCAGTTCTATCAATGTGGTAACTACATCTGATCTTCCTTAACAGGATAGCAAAATTAATTTCAGATAATACTTCAGAACAAATTTGTAGAGAAGGAATCCAGCTGATCAGCAGTTCAGGTAGTCCTCAACTCACAACAGTTCATTTAGTGACTGTTCAAAGTTACAACGGCACTGGAAAAAAGTGACTTATGACAATTTTTCAAACTTATGATTTTTGCAGCATCCCCATGATCATGTGAGCAAAATCCGGATGCTTAGCAACTGGTTCATACTTATGACCATTGCTGTGTCCCAATGTCCCAATGTGATCACTTTTTGCAATCTTCTGACAAGCAAAGTTGATGGGAAAGACATATTTACTTACAACCAGGTTACTAGCAGTGATTCACTTAACAACTGTGGCAAGAAAAGTCATAGAATGTGGCAAAACTCACTTAAAAAATGTCCCACTTAACAACAGAAATTTTTTGTTCAATTGCAGTTGTAAGTCGAGGATTACCTGTATTTCTCCCATAGGTGAATGTATACAAATAGATATTTAAAGCAGTAATGCTGGATTTTTTGTTTTGTATACACATTTTTTAGTATTTCCTGTGTTTCCCCAAAAATAAGACTGGGTCTTATATTAATTTTTGCTCCAAAAGACGCATTAGGGCTTATTTTCCAGTTAGGCCTCATTTTTGGGGAAATATGGTACTAAATACGTCCATCTGGCTGACAATCTTAACTGGAGCTTATTTTTGGGATAGGGCTTATATTACGAGCATCCTGAAAAATCATGCTAGTGCTTATTTTCTGGTTGGGTCTTATTTTGGGGGAAACAGGGTACATATTTACCTATCGTAACATGCAGCCTGATACTGAACATACTTTTTGTCTAATTTTGTTTCTGTCTTATTCAAACTAAAGTTAACGGTCAAGGAGTTTTCAGTTCTGTTTCCAGGACAAATAAAAGACCCTTGGACCACACAACAGATTTCAGACTGCCAATGTGGGAGCATGCCAATGGCAAAATATGAACCCATTTTTGACATTTTGACAGATTTATGACTTTCATAGCATCCCCATGATTATGTGATTAAAATTTGGACACTTGGCAATTGGCATATATTTTTGGTTCTAGGGTCATGTGATCGCCATTTGCAATCTTCTCATCTGGCTTCCAGCAAGCAAAGCAAATGGAAAAAGCCAGATTCTCTTAACAACTTTGTGATTCTTTTGGTTATATATTTAAAAAATGGTTATAAAATCATCTGGGACTTACTTAACTACTGCTCATTTAATAATGTAAGTTCCAGTTCCAATTGTGGCTGTAAATCAAGGACCCCTAGATGAAACTTCATTTTAAGTCAAAATATGTGCACCTAAGAATTTATATCAGTACAAAATGAAATAGTCCAACAAATATAAATCCATAGTGTTGGTGGTTTCAATCGTACTTAGGAGAAGAAACATTTCTCTAGAGTTGAGCATCTTAGCATTTTACTACAGAATGCCAAAATGACTGGAAAGATACTTACAACTCTTCATTTCTGTTCTTATTTTATTATGATGTGACAGAATATCATATCACAGAACACCTCCCAGTATAATGTCAATATTCTTTGTAAAATTAGAGGACCAGCAATTTTATGATGCTTAAGCCTTATGGAAATCAGGATTTTTTTAGGGTCCAATCCACAACAATGGAGATAGTTCAATGCATGAAGAGACATACTTTATAAAAAAGACAAATAAATTTATGACTGCAATATATATGAATTCATTTTCTATGTGAAAATATAAACTTAATAAGATACCTTTCCTTCCTTCCTTCCTCCCTCCCTCCCTCCCTCCCTCCCTCCCTCCTTCCTTCCCTCCTTCCTTCCTTCCTTCCTTCCTTCCTTCCTTCCCTCCCTTCCTCCCTCTCTTCCTATCACTTCCTACTCTGAAGAAAATTAATGCATTACATTAAGTTTTTGAGACACATGTTTTCTTTCTCTTTTTTTAAAACATTGCACAAAGATGCTAAAATTTTGGCAGGGAACAGGGAATAAGCATAAATTATTTTGCATGTTTCTATTCCAAATCTCATCGTATAAGTTCTCTCCCAGAAACAATATACCCTTGGGGCTTGGTTGAGCACTCCTTATCTTCAGTAATGATTTCATAGCCTCCTCCTCCCCTCTGCCCCAGATTTTATCTGTCTTCATCAAGAACATTAGTTGATGAATGGTTGAGAAGGGTAGACATAAAGGAAGGTGCTGGGAGTCATGCTGTCTCCTAGAAACCAGACAGCAAATAGCTTTCAACAACTGTTTCAGAGTCCCAAAGTACCCTTCAGCATAACACTCTCTCAAAATGTTATAATATAACATTACCTGTATTTTTCAGTTGCCCACCAAGACTGGCAAAGGCAAGGATGAGAACCCAATAATTTTTTTGGCAGTCCTTCTTGGTAACAATACATTGAGCAACCTGGGAATGAGTGGCAAGGGGACAAAGAGGCAAAGAGAACATTGTTAGTTTAGTTAAGACAGATTGTTTGCTCTCTGCAAATATTTTTTTTACAGCTTTATTCAGGGCAATGGTTTCTTCGGAGTGTACTAGCTTCTTCTGGAGACAATGGAATGTTGTGGTGCTTCTCCCTTTAGACTGGAATCTCTGAGGAATCTGCTAACTGTGATAGGTTTCTTCAACAGGCATGACATTCCTTGCATGTCAGATAAAAGAAAAATCACCTTCAAGTTTAGTTTGATTCCTAGTGACAATGGGGATATCCCAGGGGTGGGTTCTAAATTTTTTTACTACCGGTTCTGTGGGTGTGGCTTACTTTGTGGGCATGGCTTGATGGTCATGTGACAATTATTTAGGATTTAGCAGAGGTACTGGTCTACCAGACTTTTAACTGCTTGCAGAGCTGTACCGATCTACTCATGTATTTTTGCAGGCACTGGTCTACCCATTTATTTTTGCAGGCACTGATCTACTCATGTATTTTTGCAGGCACTGGTCTACCCATTTATTTTTGCAGGCACTGATCTACTCATGTATTTTTTCAGGCACTGGTCTACCCATTTATTTTTGCAGGCACTGATCTACTCATGTATTTTTGCAGGCACCGGTCTACCCATTTGTTTTCTTTTAACATTGTAGGGTGGCCCTTTGAAGCCCCGCACCAACAGTTTAAACAGTTTTTTCCCCTCTAGCCATTAGCTGGGACTCAGGAGGCAGCAATAGATTGGGGGTGGGGCCAAATAAAGGGTAAGAATAACGCGAGGGGCGGGGGGGGCCAGAATCGGTTCGGTGACGTCATATCGTCACCGCTACCGGCTCAGTGGAACCGGGCCGAACCGGGAGGAACCCACCACTGGGATATCCATTACATTTGCATGACAGCATTATTGGTGAAGTTTGATGTTGCCTTTTAAATTGATGCTATGGCTGAAGTATTTCTTGGTGATCTCAAATAAGAGTACTAATCAGCTTTGATCCTGCTTAGCTTTTCAGAATCAATCAAAGAAGGTCTGAGATTTTATGAGGCCACTTTTATAACCTATGTAGATGAGTAGAATTGTGCTCTATAAAACATGTAGCTTGCTTCGTGTTGTGTAGTGGTTTGCTTCAGTATAGGAAAGCTTTGCATGATCTGAAAATGATTCAGAAGGACTTTGAACCTTGCAAATATGCAACAATCTTTGCAATGCACTGAAGCAAGACTTTTTTTTTTATTGAAAAAGTTTTTCAAATACAAATCCCCCCCTTTTCCCCTCCCCCTCCCTAACCCCCCTCCCCCTCCTCTCCCCCCATGGCTTCTCCAAGATGAAATCCAGATTAATATCACATTATATAATACTTTACCACCCTTATACACCACCCCCTATGTGCTATACATTTCTTCCTAACATTATTATTATATCCCCTGTATACTATACATTTAACAGCATTCGGCTAAAAACTATATAATAGATCCTAATTTGGCATTTATTCTACTCATAATCTACCCATTTCCTCCATAATATCTAAACATAACATCACTTTTCCTAAACTAAGCAATCAGTAACCTAACCTATCCCCTTGTACCATATCAATTTTCCTACAGGTCTACCATACATAATATATTTAATATCTTTATTCTTCTGCCCATATCACTAAAAGATATTTCCATAAAACCCTCAAATGACTTTAAATTTGTATTCCATATAGTATCTTCTGTAATGTCTTTCAACTAGATTGTTAATTCCATCGACCATGTTAGGGTAACATCAAGTCCTGCTTCCAACAGTGTATTCAGTATCTTCAATTACCATCTGCCCCCATCATTAATAAGTATTTCTGTATATAACCCCCCCCCCCGAGTGACTTTATATTTATATTCCATATGGTATCTTCTGTAATGTCTTTTGTCTAGATTATTAATTCCAACAACCACGTTAGGGTAACAGCCAGATCATCTGCATGCCCCAATTCCATAGTTCTCTTGCCTTATAGCTCAACATATACGTAATCCATTTTTCAGAGAGTCCAAAATAGAAAGTTCCAGTCCGCTCAATCACAGGCCATCTTCCACATCCCCAAAACACCAGCACTGTAGAGATCTGTTATTCTTCTCAAAATAGTATAAGTCTGTAATTTGCCTCAGTTATATTTTCATGTATCAGCCTTCTATAAATCCCGCTTATTATATTTAATCGTCTCTTAAATAACTGGCATTAATCTGTTGGCTAAAAAAGAATTGTTTAGTTTAAAAATTTTTAGTTTTGTAGAACCTGCTTCTTCTTTTCTTAACTTGTTGTGGTTTAGATCTCCACCCTGGTTGCCTTTCTAGGACTTGTATATCAGCTGGTTGAATTACATGCTGGTCTTTAACTTGATAAGACATCAAATTGAGATCCAAAGCCGCCTTTTATATTTATAGGTGATCCAGCTATAGCCTCTGAAGGAGAATCCAAAAGCGGCTCATCCAAAAAGCCCTCTATAACTTGTTGTTTTTCCATTACCTCCATCTCCATCTGCTTAACCTGAGTTTCAATCTCTTGTTCATTTTGCTTTTCTTTATCTCCCTCCTGTATTCCTGACACTGATGACATACGTGGAGATGTTGGGCCCATTTTAAAAACCTTGTAATAAAATTCTTCCACTTTTTCAACAGTGTTTAATTGATATCTTTCTCCTTGATATCTCAATATTATACCAACTGGAGCATCCCACCTAAATGGGATGTTTTGTTTCTCTAGTTCAGTCACCAAAAATCCAAAGTCCTTTCTATCTTTTAACATCTTGGACGGCAGCTCTTTATATATCCAGATCTTCATTCCATTCATTTCTAGAGTGGAGTTAAAAGACTTTTGCACAGTATCATTTCTCATTCCTTTATCAGTAAAATAAATCACCACATCTCTAGGCAATTGTCTTTGCTTTGCCACCCAAGAATTTATTCTGTATACTTTATCAATCTTACAGAATACCTCTTCAAAACTAACCTTTAAAATCACAGCCAGAACTTCAGTAGACATCTTTCTCAAGTCCTCTCTGTTATTTTCCTGTATTCCCCTCATTCTGATCGCAAATTCCATGGATCTGAATTGCATCATTGTAACTTCATTTTAAATCCTTTGCTTTATATTATCTACATTGTAAGTCTTGTGATCCACTTCCTTCATTTTAAACTCTACTTCTGAGCTATTTTCTTGAATCATTGTCAAATCATTTTCAATTCTTTGTATTTTATTATCCAGATTATAAATCTTATAATCAGCTTCCTTCATTTTAGACTCTATTTCTAAATTGATATGTTTATCCATCTTTAGAATTACTTCTGAAAAGCTTTTCAAAGCTGTTACAATATAGTGCTTCAGGTTATCATACTTTTGTTGAACCAACTCTTTAATTTCCTGTCTAAATTTTTCAAGATTCTGGTTCATAATCTCATCATGTCTTGCGAACTCCTCCACAACAAATTCCTTTAAATCTTTAAAACCATTCTTCTGCATCTGCGAGCTCAAAAATTGCTCTTGTAATTTATAAATGGGGGAGCCCCCCCACATCTTGGTTGTCTGGCTTTGTCAGTTTTAACGCCATCCTGCCATGCAAACAGACTCTTTTTAAAGAAAAAGTCTTCTCTCCACACAATATCAATATCAAGTCTCTAAGAGGAAGAAGCATGAAACAGAAATTTTTCTCTTCTCTTCTAGCCAGCGCTATTGCTTCAAATACTTTGTAGCATATTAAACCATTCAAACGGAAAGACTTTCGCTTTCAGCTTTCTTCTCAAGCCTCAGCCAGCCGCCATTTTAAACTTTTTTTTTCCTCTTTCACTCTTTCTTCATTCTTAAAATCAATCATAGGGTTGTTACAAATACTTGCAATTTAGAGTCCCAAATCCGGATTTCATCCTGCTTATTCAAGCAATCTGTTAGTTTTCGCTGATTAGGTTGGTCACATCGTCTAGCTCTGCAAAGCGCAGAGTTCCCCCGAAGCCCGGAGCAGCGGCGAGCTGGATAGGGAGCCTCAACCTGCTTCCTTCCCAAGAGTAAAAAAAAAAAACTCTGGGGACTTCGCAGAGGGCTCTACCTGTTCTCGCCGGCTCTCCTCACATTTCCTTAAAGAAACAGAGTTTTTCGAGCTGCCTCTCAGCTGTAAAGGCGGCTCTTTACGGGCGGCGGGGGTGGCGGTCCCAAAAGACCGTCTAGCGACGACGGAAGCCAAACCGGAAGCCCGAAGCAAGACTTTTTTTTCAGGCATCTGTCTATCTCTGGAAAAAAAATATTTCCAAAGGCTCCTTTTTTTCATTCTGTGGTTTTACCTCCATGCTGCTCATCCTAAATATATGTGGAGCTCCTAAGGCAGAAAGTTTGAGATTCCATTTTTTTTAATGCATCAACTGCTATTCAAGCATTGTATTATAGGTATGGGTTGTGTAAAACGTTTTTGCCCACAGTATTCTTGTCTCTTCAAATGGGTGCTCATTAAGATGGTAGTTTCATTGCATTTTCATGAAAGGTAAAGGTTTCCCTCGCACATATATGCTAGTCATTCCCAACTCTAGTCATTCCCAAAGCCGAAGAGCAAATGCTGTCCGAAGATGTCTCTGTGATCATATGGCTGGCATGACTAAACACAAGGTTCATGGAACACTGTTATTTCCCACCAAAGGTGGTCCCTATTTTTCTACTTTCATTTTTTACGTGCTTTTGAACTGCTAGGTTGGCAGAAGCTGGGAATGGGAGCTCGCCCGTTACATGGCACTAGGGATTTGAACCGCTGAACTGCCAACGTTTTGATCGACAAGCTCAGTGTCCTAGCCACTGAGCCACCGCATCCCAAACTCAAGAAAGATATAACTTGCCTATTTATCCCATGCTTCTTTCCTTGCTGATCTTCTTGCTTATTTATTAGATTTAATATTGATTGTCAGGCAAAATATCAGAATAGATTTACCCTTTCCAAAGTTAGTTTCCATACTACACA